GTGGCCAGTCGTCGGTTCATTCGCCTCTTCTGGAAAACCTTGTCGAGCAACGGATCCCGACAAGGGGTATGACCATATTTAGTGGCGGACCACACTCGCCAAGTCACAGCGCTGTCCGCAGATGCATGTGGCGNCCCACCACATCCTCGAGTGCTGCCGCTGCTCGTCCGCGACCGCTTATTCGGTAGGCCGAAGCCCACCTTATTCACGGTTAGCCGCGAGATGGCGGCCGTTCCCCTATCTGCGACCTGAGGACGCGCTCGTTAGTATACAGCTCTGCTCTACTTCTATAGGCGTGATTTAAAACCAAGGATTTTCGCCTACTCTAGGTGAACCATCTGTGATTCGTAGACTCATGACTCCGAATGCTGTCTTTTCAATCTCTGACTTTGCAAAGAACACCGCCACTCGAAGGTAGTGGGTAGGGCTTCATCGGGGTTATTTGGTATAGGAGTATTTCATGAGGTGACGGAGAAGGATGAACTGTCACAATTCAAGCCACTAACTAACGATCATATCCAGGCTTTAGGAAGCTGTTCACCAATAAGTTTCTTTCAGTCTGTGTGGTGATGATTAGTTCACTCATGCGGTTTTCTTTTTACGCGCATGATGTTTGCCTCATTTGCTTCCGATTTACGTCACCGGTGTTCAATTCATTTCTGTGAAATTTTTCCCGGTCTTCGACAATCAGATACCGTCACTTTTCCATCATGATATTGGTGTATATGCTTGTAGATGGAGCACAACAGTAAGCCAATGCAGGTTTCGCTGCGCCTCAGCGGGTACAATACGGCAGTACCTTAATTAACCATGGATGCGACAGGTCCAAATGGTCATACTTTTAACATTACAAAAAAAGTGATGGTGGGACTGAGCCTGTTGCACGCATAGGCCAGGTTTCCATCTTCCAATTGCAAACTAGTTCTGTTGTGCTCTCCAAATTTATCTCGGGAATTACGTTTTTCCGTTTTTTTACTGTGCTTTCATTTGACTTTCGCAAAAATCTGGATATCAAATCTAGCTACTGATTTGCGATCAGTAGCACAAAATTCCCGTTAATATCAAGAGAATGTGCCTACACATGTTGTTTGCCACCTAAAGTGAAACCGCAGTACTTTTTTCGTCAATGGTTTCTTGACGAAGTTAAAATTAACCTTGGAAGCATTGAAGTGGATACGATTGTTGCTGTAAAATCACGACAATCAAGGTTGGTATTGACTTGGGTGTAACGAAAAGGGGTTATCCAAGAATTGCACGAAGATCTATTCGGCGAAATTCGGAATGAGTTTAGACGCTGTAAGTATAATGTGACTGACAATGAAATTAAACGCACCGAAACGGATAGTGAACCCCATCATTACAAATAAAAGCCATGCGTTTATTGACAAAATTTGTGATCGCAATACAAGTGCCGAAATGAAATCAGCCATGTGCATTTTTGCTACTAGTTCTGATTGCCTGACACAATTGAAAGTTCTCGAGATGTCCAACAAAAGCAAATGGGATTTTCCTTGTTCGGCTAGCAAGAACGCTGATCACCAATGTCCTACTAGATCTTGAAGATCGGTGATGAAACGCCGCGGTTGGGAATTTTCCCCTATTAGTCCATTGCATTCGGAATGTATAGAAGTTCGGTCAGAAATAACTGGTTCCACTACTATAAAGAGTTAATGATGATGGAGTAGGCGTTAGTTAGTTAGTTTTTGAAGGGTTAGCGTGTTTGAAAATCACAGTGTTTCTTCAGTTGTCGGAAAATGAACTGAATAAAGAATGAACAGACAGGAATATCAGTGGAATGAATGGGGTATCGCTCATTTTTGAAAAGGTATGGGAAATGCCGTCCGGTTAACTGTCTTATTGTTGAATTTTTCTGGTGCTTACCCGAGGTAATTAAGGACGGTCAGTTCATTCAAAATATAGGTAAAAATAAAGTAAAGACATTTAGCTAAAAATAAAGACATATTGGGACCGAAACACTCCCAACTTCTCTTGAGGTGACTAGCTCAGAAGAAATGATGTGAATCGTAAAACTGCGGCCGTAGTTATGCCCAAGAGAAAAAGCGAAGAAATCGTGAATACCATCCCAGTTGGTAGAATAATCACGTAAACACACTCGTCTCAATGTATGATGGAGTGGTAGAATTGCGTTCAAAGGTGTGTGCATTTTAACGGATCAAGAGGCAAGAGGATAATGGTAGGAAGACAACGTGGAAATCAGGGTTGGAGAGAAGACTCAGGGGTGTAGGCACAGTTGTTATCAGGATCGCGAACGCATCTGGGGAGGTCAATCATTTGACTTACCTAATCATGATCAGTGTCTCGATTTCTATCTATCATTTTCCCTTGTTTAACCGTTTCACCCTCTTTCCACTTTGTTCTGTATTCCAATCCACCTTCTCCCTATTATTGTTATCTTTATTATTGTTGTGGCGTTGGCACTATGCTTTTCTAAAAGCCAGTCTACCATTAAGTGGACACAGGCTCAGTTACTGGTCCCACTTTGAGGGCTTCTGTGTGCGGTAACCTGATACATAAGGTTTGAGAAGACCACTTTGATCTCCGTCGAAAATGTTGTTAAGAAAATCCAACAAAGTAGTTCAACTAGTGAGCAATAAATCCTTGTCTTTCAATGAGTGTAAAATCAGAAAGAACCGTTCGATCATCAACAATATGTATCCATCAGCAAAAGGTAATTGCAATGAGAAGGGAGTGCGAAGAGCTATATTCGGTCTTAGGCGCAGGATTTGCTCAGTTTACCCCGTTGTGTTTCTAAGTTGGTACTCACTTGAGTTAATGCTCTTATCCACTTCTACTAATATCCGCTTATCAGAGAGAAAATGTTGGCAAACCGGCTGCAACACGGGAGATCTCGGCAACCGGTGGTTTAGCCACACCGGAACAAGTGGCCCGAACAATTTTCTGGGACACCTTAGATGGCAAACTGATTAGTGCGTTCGGTGTGGAAGGCCAAGCGCTCAGTTGGGTCACAGCTGGGCTGTTACCTCCTGTGAGTGCAAACGGACGGGGTTGGTACCATGGTTTCAACCTGTTGGTCGCCTCGGCGTGTGAAGTTCTGGCTGCCGGACCACTACGTGCTTTCGGCATCGCGCACGCGTTGTGGATGCGGCACATTGTTTCCAAACACGTTCGGATGCCGAACGCCATGTGAACTCGGTTCAGTTTGTTTTGGAAAACATATCATCTTGGCCCCATTCTACGGGTCTTTTTTCTCTCTAAATTTAAATTTTTCGAATATCTGTGATGTTACAATGCACTTCTGTTATTAAATATAATGCTACGTGTGGTGAGTTAATTAGCATTTGTACACATACTCAAAATGGGACAATTTGATGGTATCGATGGGGTACACCGCCCGCGTTTTTGTGATGCTTTTCTATTTCGCCGGTTCGCCGAGCTTGGTAGTTTGCTTGCAAACGTTCCATCACCAGCCGAGGTGACATCGTCAGTGCTTGTGAAGTGACCGGCTTTTATCTGACCAATAAGATTCTGTGTGGATTCTCAAGCGTTGCGTTTGACAGCGCGTTATAGAACTTCGTTTGGCGGGGTCTCCTAGTGTTTACAGTTGAATTCATTTCTTCTTCAACTTTTTTCTAACCTGCACTGCTTGTACTTATAATGTACACCCAAGCCTGGAATGTGTATTCCTCAAGAAAACCTCGTTCAGCACAAGTGCTTCATGCGCAAATGGGACATTTTAGCTTGAGTAGGTACCAATGGGGAAACTATAAGAATGAGTTAACGAAAAAGTTTGAGATACGCATACCTAGTGAGTATTAACGACCAGTGGTGCTCGTCTAAACAAATTTCTCTAGTTATTAAAGTGCCGCTTGTTATAACGTTACTGCTTTGAGATAGATAGATATACGGTGCCATGGTCCGCACTTGCTTATACCCGGCTTCTGAGCTCATTTAGGTCCTATCCACATTAAACCACAATTTTAATGCGTTCGAATGATCTGAGTGCGTCATAATTGCCACAAGTTCATTGACTCTGTCTAGGCCCGTTTGTACTTGTCTGGAGTTATGAAACGCCAGTCTTCGTAGGCATGTGAAACTTTGACACGAACGCACAGCAAATACATTCTCGAAGGACAGTAAGGTTATGATACTAGTAGTGCATTTCTCCCAGTACGTATTCTCTCGGACCCGCTTCTTTTAGTTGGAAGATTTTGTGGTGATGAATTGGGTTGAGTTGCTGTCACTGGTGGGACTTGGGTCCTATCATTATTATTATTGTCATCATCATACATCTGATTTCAAACTGTGTACCAAACAAATCACGATACAATAATCTCTATAAATAAAAAAAGTCCATG